GCTGTGAGCCAAAACCGCATATTTTTACAGTTCTCTGGAATTATTTTTTTTTACTGGTTAACTACAGAATCTTACTTTCTGCAGTCTTTTCTGGTTACTTTTTTAAGACATCAGCTTTGCCCAATAGAACTATTTATTGATATAAAAACACAGATGAATGCTAGATTTTCTTTCCTCGGGAGTAAGATTAGAATATCCACCCAAGCAGAGTGAGAACATGAAAACTCCTTGCAGATAGTGTCCTGACTGGGATTTGAACCAGGGACCCCCAGTGCTGCAAGCCAGTGTGCTGCCCCAAACATCAGTTAAACAAGCAGAATCAATAAGGCCAGGCCATCATCTGATTTGATTATCCAAGCCAGCTACTAGGGCTCGATACTCGTAATTTTCACAAATATCGACGCTTTAATTTTTCAAACTGTAGCGGCTGCCTTAGGTCCCGCCCTTGCTGGGGACCTCACAGCAGCCTTCTTGGGAACCATGCGTCGCCTGTTTACAACACTTCTGCCAACTCCGCCTTCTGGGACCATCGCACATCTCCCCCTGCTGAGACCCTCCACATATCTCGCCCTGCTGGGACCCTCCACCCGAGACATCAGGAGCAGGGCGGCAGCACAGAGTATGTAGCAAATTCATATACTATTATTCTGCATTGCTGTTATATATATTGCTGGGATTTGTAGTCCTCTATAGCTGATGGTATCATTCTGCATTGCTGTATAATGTATTGCTGGAATTTTCGGCCCCCTATAGCTGATGGTATTAGTCTGCATTGCTGTATAATGTATTGCTGGGATTTGTAGTCCTCTATAGCTGGTGCCATTCTGCATTGCTGTATAATGTATTGCTGGGATCTGTACTCCTCTATAGCTGGTGGTATTCTGCATTGCTGTATAATGTATTTCTGGGATTTGTAGTCTTCTATAGCTGGTGCCATTCTGCATTGCTGTATAATGTATTGCTGAGATCTGTAGTCCCTCTGCAGCTTGGAGTCAGTGGCACAACTACCTGGGTCGCAGCGGTCGTAGCTGCAACTGGGCCCTGGCGCTCCACCTCTGTCTGTATTGTTCTAGAAAAACTCATGTCACATGAAACTAAAAAAAGGTATCGACAATTGGTATCGACGAGTACCTGAGAAAAAGTATTGGTACGTGTACTTGGTCTGGTAAAATGGTATTGGTGCATCCCTAGACATAACCCTCAATGGAGTTACTACATCTTGGCATGCTGGGTCTGGGCACTATACTACACGTGTGTGGCTCAACGTACAGAAAAAAAAAGTGCTGAATGGCAGCAAGAAGATTTTATGGCAGAACAGTCCCTTCTGTAATAGAAATCCCGTTGATCAGCAATTTATTTTTCCCTTTCCTTCTGCTTTAAGTTTGGATATTTTATTATTCTGACCTTCAGGAGTCAGTGATTCCTCAAATCACTTATTAATTAGAATAGATTCAAGAAGCCTCATTTAGAATGTCATCCTGATTTAGGGCTTGTTCCTTCCAGTCTCCGTATTTTAAACGCACCAAAAATGCATGCACAGTGATTTCAATGCTTGTAAGCGAGGCTAGTTCACACCATTGGGTTCAGTTCAAGAGCTACCGTATAAAAAAAAAGTACAGCAGCATTCTTTTTTTTTTTTTTAGCTAATGCACTTGAAAGCATGTAACTGCACGTAAATACATGTAAATAGACCTTAAAGTGCTTACACACAATTCAAAGAAATTTAAAATGTAAAACAAATAAAAAATGCATTGCAAATGTGTTAAAAACATGTATAAACGCGTATGCAGCATACAGAACGTGCCACAGCAATCTGCAAATGAGTTCAGCCAACGGCATAAAAACATAAGGGTCGATTTACTAAAGAGACAAGTAGGAAAGATAATTTTTACTTTGCAAGATGATTTTTATTTTTCAAGTGAATTTTCCATTCGCTAAGGCCCCAGGGCGTATCATGCATACCCGTCGAACGTTCACAATATGTGCACAAACGAGGAATGTACTTCCATAGCCATTACTAGATAATGGCACCCCAAATGCGGCCGAGCAAATTATTATTATTATTATACAGGATTTATATAGCGCCAACAGTTTGCGCAGCGCTTTACAATATAAGGAAGACATTACAATCACAATACAATTCAAGACAAGATGGTAAGGAGGGCCCTGCCCCTGAGGGCTTACAATCTAAAAGGGAGGGGCAAGCGATACATGAGGAGGTAGCTGTGTGGGGATGAATTGTTTGAGAACGTGATGGACGAGTGGTTAGTTTGAAGTGAGATAGGCTTCGCTGAAGAGATAAGTCTTAAGGGATCGCCTAAAGGCAGTCAGAGTGGGAGATAGTCGGACAGGTTGGGGTAAAGAGTTCCAGAGGATGGGAGAGACTCTAGGGAGGTACTGGAGGCGAGCATGGGAGGAGTTGACGAGGGAGCTGGAAAGCAGGAGGTCTTTGGAAGAGCGGTTAGGGTGATACTTTAAGACCAGGTTTGAGATATAGCCAGGGGCAGAGTTGTGGATGGCTTTGTAAGTGGTTGTTAATATTTAGAATGTTATCCTTTGGGCTATTGGAAGTCAGTGCAGGGATTGGCAGAGGGGGGTTGTAGACACTGAGCGGTTGGTTAGGTGAATGAGTCTGGCAGCTGCATTCATGATAGACATGCAAGGAACATTTTTTTAAAATCGATTTTTGCTTGCGCATGATTGGATGATGAAAGTCAACAGAGCTTCACCTCATTCACTAAGCTAAGAGAGATTTCCCTTGCAAAGTGAACAGCTTATTTGCATTATTCAAATTAACCCCTAAAGCTGGCTATACACTGAGTGAATATTCACTTAGTGGGTAGCTCCTGCCCGACATACTGCGATTGCAAAATTGAAGGAGATAGATGGACAATTGTCTGATAATAGCGCCTGCATCCAATCAAATGCAGTCACTATTCATGAATTTTGACAGTAGGCTGGGCTGACCATTCAAAATATAATAGCCACAGTGGGAGTTAATGCAGAACTCCAGGTAAAAATTTTCTTAGCCCTTGCAGTGCTGGGGTAGCCTGATTGTTATCAAACTTTTAAACAGCACAGATCTGTTCCAAAGATGAAAGAAGAAAATCTAACAGTGTACATTCTAAGACTAGCCATACACCTATCAATTTTTTTCGTTCAATCTGATTCCTCCATCAACACCAACAGCAAATGCCCGGCTTCCTGATTGGTGGGAAGGCCGGCTCAATGCTCCCTCATCACTTGGTGACGAGGGAGCATTGGAGCTGGCTAAAAGGCCAATCAGAAAGCCAGGCAGCGTGTTAATACTCGCTGCCCGGCTTCCTGATTGGTTGGGAAGCTGGGCAATCAGGAAGCCGGGCGGCGAGTCTTTACCCACCCCCGGCTTCCTGATTGGCCAGAAAGCCGTCTCCATGCTTCCTCGTCACATGATGAGCGAGTCATTACACACCACACCGGTTTCCTTAATGGGACTTCCGGTATTGGTCTTCGGGATCGGCGAGTACTGAAAAAAAATATCTGTACTCGTACGCAATACCAAAAAAAAGTATCGGTGCATCCCTACTTTTAATGATACTTGTATGAATAAAGTTTGAAACTTTGTGTTGGTGTGGGTACCTGTCTGCTAATTAAAACGCATGTGTTATTTGAATTTTGGGGTGTGGTACCCTGTATGACCCCCTTAAAAACAATATCCCATACAGTTTTGTTGCAAAACTAGTAACTTGTAGCTGTTAATGTAAAAAGTCATATTGTGTCTGTGTGATCTGCCTATCTTGTTAATGTTACATAAAGGAACACAATTACATTATGCTCCTTGTGTCAGTGTTTTATTGCATATTAGTATTACTCTTCTGTTCTATTATTATCGCTCTGCACTTTTTGTTTGTTTAGTTTAGTTTTAATATACCCATTTAGTGATCTTGGAAAGGTGTTGTGTTATAATAGGGGATCTAAGGAGAGTTACTAGATAAAACATTTATTTTTCCATATATATTTTGTCCATGCTCTTATGTACTTGTATACATTATTTACATAATATGCACTCGCACGCTGTTAGCAGGTTTTATACAATATTAATAACACAATACACTTTGAATAATCATATACCTCCTCTCCTTAACATGATATAGCAGCTTTATCCTAATCATATAAACATGAAGTAGAAGATGATGATATAAAATATATATATTTTTTTTTATTGGGTACCATTATTCCCTGCTGTACAGAAACGAGTCATGTGACTTGCAGAGGATAATCTGCACATGCGTACTCAGCTCTCAGCTGCCATCAGAACAGGAATAACAAAGGCTGGAGCAGCTGTGCCCATGACAGCCAGAGATAACCATCTTCAGAGAGACTCATCTTGAATATATGCGAAGGAAGCGTGACCCTGTCACAGAGGCAGTCTTCACTTAAAAGAGACCTCAGCTGTTCCTGAAGAGACATCCATCAGTTGAGAGACGTTCAGGAAATTCCTTGACAGCTGTCACCTTAGACACTCATCGGCCACAGCCTGAGACCTCCGAGCCCATCCGCTGATTGAGAGACGTCCTATTGCCAAGGCGATCATCTGTGTTCTACAGCACCTGCCTGCCCTTCCCTGGATCTGTCCCTCTCTCCCACACACAGTGACAGCAGCATCCTAGGTCCTTCAGTCATTCCCCCACCCTCATTTCTCCTGTTCCCCTTTCATTTCTGCTCACTCTCAGTCATCCTCCTCCCCCATTTGTTTGTGATTGGACCTGCTTCTTTTGTCTGATAGTCTGTTCTATATTCGCCTTTACCTAGTCATCACAGCTTCGGATCTGTCTATCTATCTATCTATCTATCTATCTATCTATCTATCTATCTATCTATCTATCTATCTATTATTTATCATCACTATATTCCCACAATCAAGTAAGCAAGCAAAAAAAAAAAAAAGCTTATATAGGATTTTAGCTACAAAAATCAACATACTGATAAACAAAACACTGAGCATTCCAAAGATATATGATAGCATCTTCTTCTATTATAGCATCATACATATACACTCAGGCCATTCTTTCTTCCTGACACTGAGCACAGCGGAAGATGTGAGTATATAAATCTGTGTGATGTACAGATGTGTTTGCATGTAATATATAGGCCTGCCTCTATGTACTGTGTGCTTGTTTATATAGGGTTCTGTCCAGGGTTCATGATCTTTAAGATGTACGGAGGCCATGAGAAAATAAGAGAGAAGGTGTGTATAGTATGGTAATGAGACCTCCTCCCTGTAAGGCCACAACAGTTATACAGGGAATAAGCTGGGAATATTCACCTGGCTTTTTGTATTTCATTAATGGTGGGGATGGTGAACTGCTTTATATAGTATTTTTATAATACAACCATGGAAGCTGGTAATTTCAGTTTATCTTTGCTCACTTCTGTAGTTGTTTTCATTTGTTTCATTTATCTTGTGGAAAAATAAATGGAAATATAAGCAGGTTTGTCTTCCTATTAGTGGATCTCTGGGATACCTATCTACTGTCTATTAGTTTTAGGGTGCCTTATACCATTTTCAAAATGGAGAAGATGTATGGATAGATAAAATGCCGTTTTCTATATGGTATAACATATGAAATATTAATTGTATGATCGCAAGTGCTTTCTTCTCCATTCTGTGCCATGTTTACTGCTACTGCTTTTATTCTTTGCATTGACTTCCAATACTCAATTACCTTTTGTTTTGTTTTTTTATTAATTGTGTATAGTTCTTCTTTGTAACTTCTTTTGCTCTCTTTCTACAGGGGGCAGTGATCCCCTCAATTTGGTAGCCCAGCATGCCAGTATATTTGATAATGATAGGCCTGCTGGTACATGGGGCATTGGCCCTCCAGCCCTGAAACAGCGACAAGGTGATTCTTCACTTCAGCACAAATGGTGAGAGTCCAAAATTAAAAGTGTTAAGAATTTCATTTTCAAGATCACTTTTCATATTACTGCCTGCTGCTACATTGTTTCTGGAAGCCAACTAATGTGCCCATGTAAAGCTTTAATGTGCCCATGTAAGCTTTCGTATGCGCATGTGATGGATTGACATTTCCAGTGCTATGGTCATGTATCCATTGTATTATATCCATGCAAATTTTCACTTGTAGAAATATATACGGTATATTGTATATTTAAATATACTTTAGCAGTGAGTGTTGTGGCATGTTAGCCATAGAGAGCAATCAAGAAAATTAATATGTATGGGATATGATTCATTAGCTCACTGAATATATGTTGGGGTGCAAGCTTTGTAACCATATAGCAATGTATAATGTTCATATTACACAGTAAAGACTTTTAGTGCAGGGGTAGGCAACCTAGGCACTCCAGCTGTGACAAAACTACAAATTTCATCATGTCTCTGCCTCTGGGCTCATGTCTCTGGCTGTCAGAGTCTTGCAATGCCTCATGGGATATGTAGTTTCACCACAGCTGGAGTGCCGAGGTTGCCTACCTGTGCTTTAGTGTTTAAACCAGGGTAGGCAAACTTGACACTCCAGCTGTGGTGAAACTACAAATCCCATCATGTGTCTGCCTCTGGGAGTCATGCCTGTCAGAGGCATCTTTCACATGGGCAACAGGCTCAGCCTACTCATCGTCAGTTTGCAGCCACTCAGGAGGCAATAGTGCTGCTTCCTGAATGCCCCTTTTTCTTCTCCCAGGTATTTGCCACATGGTTGCGGAGTGGTCCTATTGACTTCAATGGGCGATGTTTGACAGATGGTACCACCTGTCAAGCTCGACATGCCCAAATAGAATTGTCACATCATGAAGCATCACCATCACCAAATTTAAGATGCTTGAAGTATATTGATATAAACTATATTTGTCTAGTTGAATCAGTAGGAATGTCCATCGCTAACCTTTAACCCTTACGCTGCCAAGGCCTTTTTTTTTTCTTCTTTTTTTTTTGCACACATGTTATAATCCACATTTTAGGCCTAAAAATCATTTCAAACCCCCAAACATTATATATTTTCAGAAAGCCAAGACCCTGTGGAATTAAATGGTGGAAGTTGCAAATTTGTATGTTGCATGATATAAGCGCAACTCTTTATCAAACCCAAAAACGTAGTGAAAAATGCATTAAGTTATTTTCAGTGCCCCAAAACACAATATATTACCAACATGATGGTGACGTCACACGCTGAACGAGCGGTGGCCCTATTGGCCACCAGCGTGTTCTGGGCATGCGTGCCGCCATTTTGAAATGGATCTTGGTATACACCAAGATAGCGGCGCTCGAACATGTGGGTGCTGCCATCTTGGTGTATAACAAGATCTACTCCAAAATGGAGGCATGCATGCACATAACGCGCCGGCTGTTTCAGTGTGCGGTTTTGGATTCGGAAGCTCGCTGCCTCCGGATACGAAACATAAAAATGTGTTTCCTTTGACGAAACAAATTAAAACATTTTTATTTGTTTTGTCTGAAAACACATTTGTTTGTTGTGCACATGTCTAATACCCATACTTCCTAAATGCACTGACACAGTTTCATTCAGCCCTGTGAATATGTCACCACTCTATCTAAGCCTGCCAACCAACTCAACATCTGAACAATGTAACATTATCATTGCTTGCTGGAAGCAGTGCATGATGGTATATGTAGTCTTGAGAAATCCAGATTGCATCACATCAAGCAGCAGGGAAAGAGATGCACAATACACAGGGAATCCAGGAAGTTGGTGAAAGTTATGAGCAGACAGAAGGCAGCACTCACTACATTACACTCACGTAAGCTTTGATTGTTTTATCAGAAACAACTCTAGTATGTGTTCCTATTACAATGCTGATGTTATAACAGGATAGTATATGCTGGGACTTTACAACTCCTTTAAATTGGTTTTACCCATCTATGTTCTTTTGATATATTACAGTTTATTATTTTAGAAAGTACTTAAAATAACCTTGTATGGATAAGACATCAAAGGTGGCAAAGGCTGTCTGAGGTGAAATAAATTTAAAGGTCATATTTGTGTTATATAAGCAGTATTTAGTAGTCGTGGTGACTTGGACAATCAGAAGGTGCTAATGTCAGTTTATATCTTTAAAATTTCAAACGTGTTTAAAAATGTGCTTAGAGTATTTCCTTTAAAGAAAAAAAAAAATTCTTAATTGATACCACAAAATTGTCAGGATCAGTGAATGGTTGGCATGTCTTTCGGTACTGCCGTCCGTCATCAGACCTCTCAAAATAGTGACACTAAACTCAGGAGTTAAATTCATGCTGACACGGTCCTTCCTTTTGGAGGGTGGCTACTTTTATTCCCCATGGTCCCTGTTTGTGTTGTAAAGTAGCCACCGCTCCAAGCTCACTCCTGAGACGGACTACAATCTCAATACAAATTAATAAACTAAACATGAGTTTGTAGTCCATCACGGGAGAGAGCTTGCAGCGGTGGCTGCTTGACAACACACACAGGGACTATGGGGAACAAAAGTAACCACCCTCCAGAAGGAAGAGCATTGTCAGCACCAATTTAGAGATGATTTATTTATTACAAGTATTTATATAGCACCAACAATTTACACAGTGCTTTACATAGTACACATTCACATTAGTCCGTGCCCTTACAATCTAAGGTTCCCTACCTCACGTACAAGCCAATGCTGTTTTATTTGTCCATATCTGAGCCGCTCGGCCAAGTTCGGGAGCTGTATGGGCTATAGTGAATAGCCCGTATAGCAGCCCTTCGGTTCTACTGAACCAAAGGGGTCCTGGGGCCGAAACTAGCCGAAGGATCGGCCGAAGCTACGGCTAGATCCTTCAGCTGCTTCGTGAATAGACCCCATAGTAAAGTAATACTCACAAACGTTGTCTGTAACATAAGCATTCAGAACAACCACCCAAACTCAGAGGCCATCAGTCGACCTGAGAATGGACTGTTGAACCACCAGAATGTGAACCGAAGCAATCTGGAAAAGTCTTTCTAACGCGTTTTTAGGGTAGAACCCTCTTCATAAGAGCAAACGGCTCAGGTCGACTGATGTCCTCTGAGTTTGGGTGGTTGTCTTGAATGCTTATGTTACAGACACCATTTGTGAGTATTACTTTACTACGTTTTTATATGGACAAATAAAACAGTATTTCACGAGGAGAAGGTGCTGTTCTTTGTTTTCTTTTACATGATCGTTGAGGCTTCCCTTCCTGCTTTGGAACAGCAGCTCCCTCTGTGCATTCTATTGATGTCCATATTTGTGGACTCACTCCATTTATCACTGGGTGACTTTCACCAAGCAGTAAAAGTTTAGAAAATGTTTTTTTACATTTTTGTTAATAACTAGGGAACTTGATTGCATTTTGAAGATTTAACTCCTGAGTTTAGTGTCACTTTAAGGAGAAAGTGTGTCAATAAGTATGGAGTTTTTGGTGAACAGATTATTCTTTTTCAGAGGAAGGAGAATTGTTGGTGTTTCCTGAGTACATAATCACATGACAGCATCTACATACAAATTTCTAGGTTCTTCTTGGGTAGACTGGTTTTGCCCTGGTCAGATTTTTGTAAAACCTTCACTACAATCCTATGAATAGTTCAAAGGGAACCTGTTGACATGGAAATATGGGAGCTGGCATTGTTGACTTAAAGGAGAACTATGAGGTGAGTGCTTTTCACTCACCTCATAGTTCTAGACGACCTGTGACAATGAAACTGTCACAGGTCGGCTCAGTAGATCGGGAAGTGAGCGAACACATACCGGCGTTTGCTCACTTCTCTATCCTGTCACGGCACGGAGCCGTGACAGGGGAGGGACTGGATTCCCCCCTCCCCGCTCCAATCCTCCAGCGCTGACTGGCGGAACGGACGGGGGAGGGGGCGGGTACAGCTGGCTCTGCCTCTAGATAGGCAGAGCCAGTTGTCACTCACGCAGCTGGGCGGATCCAGACATAATTGTCTGGATCCGTTTCAGCTGCAGCGTCTCAGTATATAGCGAGCTGTAGCGAGCTGTATACTGAGCTTAGGGTGACGGGAGGACACTAGTTTGTGTCCTCCCGTTACCCTTAGGAGAACTATGGGGAAAAGCCCTAACCCCATAGTTCTCCTTTAATATTAAAGGTTCAGGTTCCAGACCTGCAATCCTTGCCCCTTTTCACCACCTTAGTCAGTCATTGACCCAGAACACACAAGCAGCCAGTGATGTGTCAGATCAGGTGATTTTATTGTTTTAATTTGAGCCCATCTACCAAGATGTGTATTTAACCCCTGTGGTGCTGGGATAGTGCTGGAGTTCCTCTTTAAGGCTGTGTAACTGTGTACGTAAAGCCCCATTGTAGCTTTTAGATTTGTTAATAATATGCAGTTAGGCGGAATATACAATAATAAATGTGCTTGGGTTTTCTTTCTTTCCTTTTTTATTCCCTTACTTTGTGCTGGCAGCATGATGGAGAGCAGGGCCACTGCTCTTGCACAATATGCAGTGGTCTGGGTCACCAGCAATCTCACATGCCCCCTGCCCAGTGCTCTAATCAGCAGCACGGACACTCCCTGAGCAGCACTGTTGGTTTAGACACTGAGCAAGTGGCATATTGGAAAACTGAAGACTCAGACCAATGTGCTCTCTGTTGAGTAGCAGTCACATTCTGCTAGTAGAGATGAGGTTGGGCTTGGTGCAAAATCAGTTCCCCTGAATTCACCCAACTCTGCTAAAAACGCTGACCTCCACTCCCTCCTCCCGACCAAATCAGAGTCAGGAAGGAGGGGGAGGCAGTTCGAGCTTTGAGTTGGCTTGGGCTAACTTAGGCAAAATGAGTTTGCACCAAGCCCAGCCTCATCACTCGCTGCTAGCACGGTGTATTTTAACCCAGGCTACAACACAGCGTAAGGAAAACCAAAAACTGGAAGATTAAAAATATTTATTACTGTATAAGCAACTGCGTAATAGTTACA